AACCATCACAATCAAAAGATAAATGACAAGTTGGGAATATATTGGTAACTCATACCAAAGTCAAAGTACTAATTCTCCTATTTGTAAAATAATAATTCAAAATACTACTAGCCACTAAGAAAATGACTATAGGTCATGAATTCACAATTTCTAGTAAATAAAAATGGCTCTTAAATCTATGGAAAGATGAGAAACCAAAGTTCTAATAAAATACATACAAATTAAAATTACACAGAGTTATATTCTACTCATCGAAATATAAAAGACCAAAAAGTTTGGTCATATACAGTGTGGAAGATGGTGTGGGACAGGACACATTCACACATTTCTGATGGGAGTGAAATTTGATAGAGACTCCCAAAGAGGACAATTTGAAACACATACAAAGTGTCATACTTTTTCCCCCTGTAATTCCTCACCTAGGAATTTATCCGAATGATATATCTGTACATGTGCAAGAGGCATATATACAAAGGTAATAAATGTAGAATAATTTGCAATAAAAAAGATTGGTAACAGCCAAAATGGCCATCAATATTGCATAAATTATGGTCTGTCCATTCAGTGGAATACAAAGATGTTATGGAAGGATCTCCAAGATATAGTAAGTTGAAAAAAAAGACAGAGTGCACAACAATGTGTATTTGTATGAGGAGGAATAAATATATGTTTCTATACATAACGTATAATATATAATATAATATGTGTATTACACATATTCCTTCTCATACAAAATACCTGTATATGCTTGTTTTAGCATTAAATATCTCTGGAAAGATTTTCAGAAACAAATAACTATAATAACAGTATTTGTCTTTGAGGAGAAATCATAGATGTCTAAAAGCCTGGAAAGGGCATGACAATTTGCAAGGTGTGCATAAAAATATTTTTTAAAGATGTGAATGTATTGCTATTTCAAAAATAAAATTTTAAAACATGGAAAATAAATTTAATGATATACCCAAGATAAAAAAATGAAAGAGAAGGAGGGAGGGCGGGGAAAGGAGCAGGAAGAGTGAGATAAGAGACAGAGCTAGATATAGCCATAGAGAGAGAGGAGGGAGAGAGATACAGAGATAGGAAGAGAGGGAGAGGTTGAGAACAGGGAGAGAGAGACTAGGAGGCGAGGATATTAAAGTAAAGCGTATAGAAAACTCACTTAAGGAGATTTGCGATAAAGGAAAGCAGAGAAATCAAGCAGTGGGTGGAGGAGAATGTAGATCTGGATGGCGTTTTAAGCCGGGAGAACGGTTGGCATGTTTGTACAGTATTGGGATGATCCCAGAGAGAAGGGAACATTGAAGATGCAGGTGGGAGAGGTAATATCGTGTGGAGAGTTTCTGTATAGGAGAGGGGTGGGAACCCAAAAGCAGGTGGAAAAAGGGTTTAAGATAGGAGCGTGCAGAGCTATTCCCTGGCATGAGAGGAAAGGCAGAGAAATGAGCTCAGAGGCAGACTGGCTGGTGGATTTGGTGTGTGGAGATTGGGAAATTCTCAGGACGGCACCATCTGAGAGTGATAAAAGAGTGAGGAGGGGATTTCAGGAGACAGATGGCATGAAGTGTTACCGTTGGAGAGTGAAAGAATAATCATGGAAAAGTCACAGGATCCATCAGCAGAGCTAAGTGGATACTTGGGGTTAGTGCACATAAATCGAAAGTGAAACTGTTGGGCATATTTGTGTGTTGTTCTCCAGCTACTCTCAGATCTCTGGGAACAGGTCTGGGGTTAGTAGAAATTTTGATTAAACGAGGGCAAAAGACTTGAACAGATGCTTCACCAAAGAAAACGTGGATGGCAAATAAACACATAAAAAGATGGTCCAGATCCCTATTTATTAGGGAAATACAAATTAAAACTATGATGATATGCCACTACCTATTTCTTAGAAAGGCTAAAATAAAAAATCCTGATGGTTTCAAATATTGGGAAGGCTTTAGAGTAACCGGATTATTTTACACATTGCTGGTGGGAAAGTAAAATGGTATGGTCATGGTGGAAAACTCTTGCATTTTCTTAAAAAGTTGAATGCACACTACCACACAACCCAGCAATGTACTCTAGGCATTTATCCCAGAGAATGTTAGACTTCTGAAAACAAAAGAAAACTTACATAAAAACCTGTACATATACAAAACCTATACAAATGTTCAGAGGAGCTTTATTTATAATAACCAAACTGGAAACAACCCAAATGTCCTGCCATTTGTGAATGTGAATTCACATGTGAATGGTGAAACAACAGATAATATAGCCATACCATAGAGTACAACACAGCAGTAAAAAAAAACAAACAAAAAAACCCCACAATAAACTATTGATACATGCAACAACTTGGATGGATCTTAAAGCTGTTGTGCTGAATAAAAACAGCCAAACTCAAAATGTTGAATACTGTATGATTCCTTTTATTACATTTCTGAAAGGACAAAATTATAGAGATGGAGAACAGATCAGTGGTTGCCAGAGGGGTTTGGGAAGGGGGACAAGGTATCGGATGTAACTACAAAGGAGTAGCCCAAGGGAGTTCTTTTGTGATGAAGAAACTGTTCCATATCTTGCATGTGGTGGTGGTTACATGAGTGATAAAGTGTCCTGGAAGTATACATAACTTCATAAAGATGTATGTATGCAAGAACAGGTGAGATGTAAGATCCGTAATATAGGTAATTGTATCCTACCAAGGTCAATTTTTTTATTTTGATAAATACAATATTTGTGTACGATGTCATCATTGGCAGAGGTTGGGTGATGGGTACACAGGTCCTCTCTGTACTACTTTTGCAACTCCTTGTTGGTCTATAATTAATTCAGAATGAAAAGTCAAAGAATAACTGAAAAGTCAGTCTGTTGGATTGACTTCCTACATGGATATTGAAGTCACCAGAATAAGGACAAATTTAATGTTGGAGAAGATTTGTAAAAACTTGCACATAAGGCCAGGAGAAAACATAATAAGCATTCACACACCCATCATTAAAATGAAGGATGTGAAGTCTGACAACTAAGTTCGAGAACTCATCCTAGAAAAAGAGCTACCTACCTCATTGCTGAATATCACTATGGTCATCTTCAAAGTACTCCCCTTGGGAAGCTATGCACTGATGCCAGCGCCTAGCCCCCCCTTCAAAGCAATTTTGGAACTCTTTTTCTGGAATGGCCATCAGAGCTGTCGTCGTATTACACTTGATATCCTGATTGTCATCAGAATGTCTTTCTTTCAATGTTTCCTTTATGTTTGGGGAAAGAAAGAAGTCATTGGGGGCCAGGTCAGGTGAGTAGGGTGGGTGTTCCAATCCAGTTATTGGTTTACTGGCTAAAAACTCCCTCACAGACAGTGCTGTGTGAGCTGGTGCATTGTCGTGATGCAAGAGCTCCTGTGGGACCATTGCTGCACACACCTTTCTCATGCCGAAATTTTCAGTTAAGTTTTTCCTAACTCTTTCTCTATTGATGTTTACTTGGTCTGCTATGCTTCTCACAGTCAGCCGATGATTTTGATGCACAAATCAATAAATTTTTGTAATGTTTTTGTTGTTACTGGCCACCCTGGCCTCTCTTCATCAGTGACATGTTCTCTCCCCTTTGAAAAACGTTTAATCCTTTTGTACACTGCTATTTCCTTCATGGTGTTATCCCCATAAACTTGGATTAACATGTCCCTGATTTCACTTTCATTCTTGCCAAGTTTAACAAGAAATTCAGTGTTTGTTAGTTGCTCTAATTCAAGTTCAGACATTCTTGCAATGGCACACAAAAAACTCACAACAACAATAATGAACGCCACTCAGCCAGACACCGCCACACGTCGACACGAACACAGCTGTGAGACATTGATATACCAAGGTTATGAAATCTTACCGAGCTGTTTGTACAGTGCTGCCAATGTAAGTGCATGGTGGCAAGTTCGCAAACCTAATTGTCAGAACTTGTATATTAAAATTTTGTCATATTTGCTTCCAACCTCTTTAAAAATAAATAAATAAAAAATTTTACAGGTACAACTAAAGGCCCATACCTCTCTCACTGATATCTTCAGAGCTTCTGAAGTCGATAAGCATTATTCTCTGACACGTGTAACAGGATGTTAGAACAGTTTTGATCTAAATATCAAGATATTATAGATACTACATTTCAAAAGAGGAGCAAGATGACATGCAGAATTTAAATAAGAAATTTCTCATGACTGTTTACCAACTCTGAAGCCGTAATCCGTATCAAAAATAAAAAATTTAGAGTTGAATTTTTATACAAGGAATAAAAAGTTGAGTTTGATTTAAAGATGAACATCTGCCCTGCTCCCAATTTGACCATTGGCAGGCCAAAAGACGGCAGCCAAGGAGGGGGTGAATTTTGTTCCTTCTGTCTCATCCCACCCCCCCACCCCCACCCTTCTTCTTCCATTTCCCTGTTGTTTCTAGATGTGGTTTCTCACCCTGTAGGGTTACGCATATCCCAGGAGAGCAGGACTTGCCTTTTGGGCTTGTCTTCCTGGGGTGACCTCGCTGGCTTTCTCTGGACTTGACAGTATTGGAGAGTTGACTCCAATTAATTTTACAAACTTATGCTAACTGCTGTCAATTGAAGGCCACAACAGACATGGCTCATTGTTCACAGCACTTCAGCCTATGATCCTTCTTAAGAAGGAGCAAGTAACCATGACCAGGTACTTGGGGTGTCACAGGGAATGAAACTTATTTGTAAACTGATCACCATTTTCTAAACAACTTGTGTGCTTTTAATAACAATGCCACAATGAATTGCCTCTTCTCCCATTTCCACCTGTCCAATTCCTGTTTATCTTCCTTGCCTGCTTCAAAAGTTGGTGTGGCTGGCAAAAGGAACATAGGGTACTAGCATGGTAAATTGTAGAGTGATCAGTTCAAATTCCAAGTATTTCAAGAAGCCTTCCCTGATCCACTTGCCACCACGTACACACTTATTAATGAGATCTTCTCCTTTTCTGCTCCCCATCTCTGTGTTTGTATCCTGAAAGGGTTCAGAACCAGTTTACCAATATGACAGACAAGTGTGGAGGTCTCTGCTTCCATACTCTACTGTAAGCTCCTGGAGAAGAGGGACCAAATTTTATCTATTTTTGTAGTATTGACAATGTTGGTACCCAATACATATCTTTCCATCATACAGAAAGAGCATCAGGCAGCCTCTCTGAATTCCAGGTCGTTGCCAAGTACAGCTTCTGCTGAGAAGAGCATATGCCCATATCTATAATCACATGTAGAGACATGAACTTCTGAGGCTGCCTGACTTGCAACAGAAATTACCTTCAGTCCAGCCAGGTCTGTGGTAAAGCCAAACCCCACTGGCTTATTCTGAAGACAGGTACCATACCACAAATGGCAAATAATTCAGACTGGGGCAAACGCATAACCTCACTGTCTGCTTGGGTTGTCTCAAATAGGCTTGTCACCCAAGTTGGTCATGGAGTCAGCCTAAGAATCCACGNACTGATATCATAGCCTTTTCCTTTTCTTTTTTTTTTTTTTTTAAGATTTTATTGGGGAATTGGGGAAGGGAACAGTGATGGGAAATTGGGGAAAGAGGACGTTGCTTCACTGGCCCAAGTTGGCACCATCACTGCGCTTTTCCCGAGCGTGGCAGATCAGTCGCCGGCTTCTGGACGGCCACTCACGATGGCTGCTGGCTACACACGGTAGCCCATGGCAACCCACTGCAGCAGGGGTTGCAGCCTAGCCATCGCCAGAGACTCATGGCAGCCCAGCTCCAGGTTGAGCTGTTATTCAGCATCTGAGCTGTGGAGGGCAGTGTCACTGGCCCTCATATGTGGGATCCAAATCGGGGCCCTCTGGCATCCCAAGCCAGCTCTTAACCAATGTGCCACTCAGCCGGCCCGACCATAGCCTTTTGACGCTTGTCCTCAAAGGTCTGGATGAGCTTCCTCTGAAAGTAAATACAGACTGAAAAGAGAAGAGGTCTGAAAGGTCTTCACCCATTAGAAGTCCGGAGGAAAAGTTGGTTCCAGCAAATCATGTATAGAGAAACTGATCAACGGAACAAAAGTCTCAGAATTAGACACCAATGCAATGGGAATTTAGTATATGACAAAGGCTGTATGTTAAAGTAGTGGGTGAAACATGAACTATTTAGTGACTGGAATTAGGACAACTGGTGGCCACCAAAAATAAAATAAAGTTCAAAATACGTTTTACATATGATGTTAGAATAAGTCCAGATATACTAAATGTTTAAAAATTAATAATGAGGGCCGGCCGAGAGGCGTGATGGTTAAGAACTCGCTTGGGATGCCAGAGGGCCCCGGTTCGGATCCCACATATGAGGGCCAGTGACACTGCCCTCTACAGCCCCTGTGGCAGTGGGTTGACATGGGCTACCATATGTAGCCAGCAGCCAGCGTGAGCAGCCAGCAGCCGCCGTGAGCAGCAGTCCAGAAGGCGGCGACTTATCTGCCTCGCCTGGGGAAGAGCACAATGATGGTGCCAACTTGGGTCAGTGAGGCAACATCCTCC